CAAAAGTTCCAACTTATCGAGCAACAAAACAGTTTACAATTAAAAAAGAAAAGAAAAAAAATTTATGAAAAATTTATCACAATGAAATTTTAATAACTGGAACAAAAAAAGTAAACCGATTTCAACTTATCCTCATGCAAGATTTTATGAAAGTTTTAAATAATACAAAGGATATGCAAGGTTTTAACAGAAGACATTGGAACCTGGAAAGAGAAACACCATTAAACAGACATTTGAATCGAACCTTACTACCTTGCTGATGGCAGCAGCGAAATCAGTCACGATAAAACCATATATATACACTTTTACTGATAATAAACCTTAAATTAGAAAGGGAACGATTTGGTGAAAAAGAGGAAATTCAATGAGTTTGACGTCTGTAAAATCAGTTTGTCCAGGCGAGATAGTTGCAAAGAAAAATCGCAACGATTGGCAGTTTATCATGTAAAAGTTCACAGGTTATTTCAATTATAATAATTCAATATATATATTTAGAATAAGTTCTTTTGAAGTAAAATTAAACACAATATTTTTGAGTAGTACTTCATAAACGGTATTACTGAACAATGAAATGAAGATTTAATTCTACCAATTTTTCTAGTTTATAAAAAATACTGATGAATGAATATACTATTAGCACACATATAATATAAATTGGTTTGTTCCCAGTAAAGACCGAGAGACAAACCTCTCTGCCCACCAACTTCAGCACACTGCGAGCTGAAGGGGAAGGGCTCTCGTGCCGGCCGAGAAGATGAACCAACGTTAGGCCTAGACCACAATCGCCACCTTACACGATGAATACTTTATCATCTTCTCCTCCATTCAATGTGAGGCCTCCACTGCAAATGGAAAGGATGATAGAGGGACAGGAAATGGACAGCATGTAGTGTGCTGCGATTAAGAGCAATGATTTTTTTTTCCTCTTTAGAACAAAAACCGAAATTGGGAAACAATTTAGTTGTATTTTAAAATACCTTCAACCAATTAAATTGTTTTCTCATATTTCAGGGGATTAAATAGTCTGAGCAACATGGAGTGCAGTGGCAGCACGTCTGATAAAATACCATTTTGAACATAGTTTCTTTATAAATAATAAAAAAGCCAAAGAACTTTGCACTTGTTATTATTTTGCTATTTTATCAAAAAACATGATAATATTTTAGCTTTGTTTTATAATTTTATCTCTTGTTAAAATCTTCAAGATGTTAACCCGGCTTCGAAATAAAAGAACAAGTCAGTTGTTATGGATACCAGATGTTCATGTGCACTATAAAACAACTTGGTTAACGATTCACTGAAAACATCGGACACCTAATTCTTAACCTGTTCAATGAATATTACAGGAGCATTTTATCTTGTTGTTAGTTAACCTGACTCTCAATCTGTTCGATAAATATTAAGGGAGTGTCATATTTGATTATTCAACTATTTCACGAACAGAAGAGATAACTCAACTGTAACAGCCAATGATCACAGTGAAACTAGCATTAAAGACATTTAGCTAAAACTCTCATAATATAGAAGTTACATAATAAATTTTCCGTTCAGAGAACCTTTAAAAAAGAAACTGGTTAAATTTTAAGAAAGTTCTCTTTCAATACAAGTATCAAAATAAAATTATTTAAAAAGAAATGGTATTTTATCAGAAGCCGACACTTTTAATGAATGTAAGTCAGGAAATAAATATAATTTTTATGATTATTACATCCACACACACATATGACAAGAGTCTTGGAAATAAATGCTGTTCTGTAAAAAGTCTATTGAATTCACTGATCATTTTTTTTTTCTTCTTCTTTTTATGAATAAAATTCATTTTATCAAATGATTGTCCCTAAATAAATTAAATTCATTTTCAAAATAGTTTTATTTCATAGGTGGCTTATTTCATAAAAACAAATTTCCTAACACAATTGAAATTAGTTTTAAATTTTTTTTTAGTTCCACATAACAGTATATATATATATATATAATAAAAAACAAAAACTTTAGAATATATGCAAGTCACAAAGTGCTGTACAGATTGATATTACTACAAACATTATTTCTTACGACAGAAGTATAACAAAAATAACACTTGATACCAGTTGTCTTGCATTACCTATTAAATGTAATTTAACACAAAAAGGTCATTAAAATTTACTTACGATGAGCTCAGTACGGATTCATATTTTAGTACAATGTAATCTTAAGCCTTTATTGTTACTATACTGTATGTTCAATTCTATTTAGGCAAACATTCTTGTCTGTAACTAAAATTATGCAGAGCACCATTGTCGATAGTCGAGGGTTTTATCCATTCTAAAAATAAAATAAACCTTACTCCATGCTGCTCAAACAGGGTAGACTAAAAGAGAGCTGACAGACGTTGATTGAGGAGGATAGAATTATATAACACGTAATTCAAAAGCTGTACCATACTTTTCTACTCCACAAGCTAAGCACCGACAACGTTGAAAAATTACATCTAATCAAGAGCCTCACTACAGTGATTTTTATTGTTTATTTGCTGTTCGAACCATAACGGTTGATATCAGATTCCTTAAAATATTTACTGTAGGCTCAAAAATTATTTCATTTTATCAATGGCGGATAATATTAATGAACAGGATAACACAATAACACAAAGTGAATGAATGAATGTGTATTTTCTCCGATAAGAAATTCTTTGGATATTTCTCTCCTGCTTTAATGGCTCATTGAGGCTCTTCAATTCAGAAAATAAAAATTCATTCTACATAGAACTTAACATCCAAAAGTAAACTCTTACAAACACTGAACTTTAAATTTTTTTATATATATTTACAAGTTAAAAAATAAAAGCAAAATAAATCAACATTTTCTTGCATAAAAAACAAAAAAAAACAAATTGTGATTTGTAATGGCTTAGTTGGACAAAATTAACTATTAGCTACTTCCAGAACTTAGCAAGAAGAGGAGAAAAGGCTAGGTACAGCTAACAAAAAGCATACGGAGAGGAATCTTTTCCACAGTGTGTTGTTTTAGCATCCACCTAATACGTGTCCTAGGTATCAGAAGTGCCGTTACATTTCTTTTTAGCATCATCAGAAGAATATTTTAGGGGAAGTTACGAATTGCAGGAGTTATAACATTTAGCATGTCATAAAAAGAACAGTGACAAAGTAACTGGAGATCCGCCAGAAATTAAAACACTTAATGATGATGTTGGTGGATGCCAAATACAAAAAAAACAAAAAAACACACAAACTTCAATAGAATCAACTACTCAGCTGATTCAGAAATATTTTTAATTACAATGGAAAAGTTAGTCTTTTCATTACAATAACACACATTTTTCCAAACTTACCTACTTATGCAAAATGATGACAAAATATAACAAAATCTACACTAACCCATATTAACCCTACATGCAAGGGGTTTGTCCTTTTGGAGAATTAAGGTGTATTATAATTCCAAACTTACTACACCAACCTTTATGAAATTTGGCAAGCTTTCAGTAAACATGAAAGTGTCGTACATGAAATATCATGATTTTTTAATGAAATATTTTCACTAAAGATTTGTCTATAAATTTATGAAGTCAATCTGACTCGGACTAGTCTGAGTGCAAGGTGATTTAGTGTTACTAATTTAGCAGTGCAAGACTAGAGGGAAAGCAGTTAGTCACCACCACCCACCGCCAACTCTTGGGCTACTCTTTTACCAACGAATAGTGGAACTGACCGTCACATTATAACGTCTCAACGGCTGAAAGGGCGAGCATGTTTGGTGTGACGGGGATTCGAACCTTCGACCCGCAGATTGTGAGTCGAGCACCCTAACCACCTGGTCATGCCGGGCCCCGCTCAAGTTAACTCCTGTACATACATAAGGAATATTCTTAATCCTCCCCCCCCTCCCCATTTGAGTTTCCTAATCTAAACTAAGAAGTTTCTAAATTTACAATTCAGTTACTTTTACAACAGTAAGTAGAAGATATATTAAAAACAAGATATTTAGTACTTATATGTAGGATCTTGCACTCAATATCTGATCAGAATTTAACTCCACATTTTCGAAGGGTTTTTTTTCCCCATAGTACATAAAAATTGTTTTTTAGATTCAAGTATGTAATTTAGAACATATAATATTAACATGAAAAAGAAACACAATGTTATAAAACTATCATGATTTCAACAGCTTTCTAACTAAGCTATAAGTGGGTCATAATAATTGGGTTAGCTGGTCAAGGTGATATTGGCAATAGCCACAAAGAAAGTGTATGCCAAGTAATTCAAAAATTATCAGAATGATATAGCCTTAAGGAATTCAGTACGTAATTTTTTTTATTTATTATAAATAATCAAATAACAACTGTGACAAAGAACAGATATTCTTTATGAGAATGACATTTTATAGGAGAGTAGCATGTGGGTTTGACTTGCTAGTTTATATCCCAGTAAAATAAGAATACTGGCGACTATAAAGTCTACAGCATGTCTTAGTAATACCTATGGTACGAGTACAATTTACAACAAACTCGGGAGATCATGTAGGGGGGGGGGGGGGGTAAAAAGAATATCTAAAAAGTGGCAGTTTGGAGAAAAGAAGTCACTAGATACAGAGAAGTGGAGATTGAGAATTTATTTAATATTAGAATTTGAATTAAAAACTATGTTTTGATGCCAAGTTTACCAATATACGTTGATAATAGAGTTGATTCAACTCTAAAAAGGGTCGTGACTCCCACCGATGCACATAGGGTTAAATAAGAAGATAATATAAAACAAGAAACTTGCAAACAGCTGTTTAAAACATTTTTCAGCCTCATTGCAGGAATTAGTATTTTACAAAATACAAAACATACAATCAATATACGAATCAGAGTTTAGCAAACACTGCTTACCCAACAGCCAAAACCCGTCCAGATGGGGAATATGTGCAGCACAGTGCCTCCTCTACTGACCCAACAGCTACAGGGTCATCATGTGATAAAATGTCCCAAAATCGTACATAACTATCATTAAAAAAAAAAAAAAAAA